AATTTGTTCCGGAGGTCTGTTCTTAATCTGAAACTGTTCTTTACCTGAAGCACCACTTTAGCTAATGGGGCCTCCTGCTGCTGCCGCGCCACCGGAGCACGATTTCTGTTCTCATCCTGAAGCAAAGTTCTTAACCCAAGGTACTATTTCTGGGTTAGTGGAGTCTGTAACCTGAAATGTATATAACCTGAAGCGTATGTAACCCGAGGTACCACTGTACTTACCCTAGTTTATAACAGACTAGCATTTTCTGAGTTAATAATGATATAACTTAGATTAATGTTATAGTTAACTGTCCAGCATTTTTCAAACTAGTGCTGGGTTGAAATTTCCATTTATTTGTCCCATTTGCAGGTGGCAAAATGGGGAGTAGGTCCTGGTGATTCCCAGGGGGTGAATTTCACAGGCGGGGGCAAACTGACAGCCAGCAACTTTGTGCCCCCCCTCATAGAGGGGGCATTATGGTGGCTGTGAGCCCCTGGATGCTGAAAAGAGCACTGTTGCCATTGCTAACACCATTGGCAGCAGGAGGGGGGGAGCAAAGGGGGGGAGCATTTCCCCCGTTTTCATTCATGAAATCCCACCCCAACTCAGCCAAGAGTTCAATAATTGAACTCCTAGCCAGAATTTCCAATAGTTTAGTTTACTTTTCTATTCTTTAGAGCCAGGATGGTGAGGCACTTCAGTCTGCTCTCTTTCACTCTCTCTCTTTTAATTTTTTTTAATTGGGTTTTAATAACAAGAATAATGTTATACAAATAAATATACCAAGTTTTCTCATGTCATTTGTATTTCACAAGAAAACATAATAAATGTGGAAAACTATCTACAACATATGTTTCATTATTAGTGTTCAATGTATAGATTCTTGGTTTATGAATTGGTTTAAACAATTAAGAAGAAGAAGAAGTGAAGGGGGGAGAGGCGAGTGGGGTGGTGATGCTTCTGTTAGTGTGTGAGAAGGGTTGTGTCAACGTTACTTGTATGGGTTCTCATTGCATTTCCTTGGTGTGAGAGAGGTTGGGTGTGGCTTAGGGTGTGGTTGGTTGTCTTTGGTTGGCTGTAGTGAGAGTTGTTTTTGTGTGTGAGTGGGGTGCGAGTGTGTATTTTTGAGTCAGGTTAGCCAGCCACTGTGAGCTCTGCTACCTCAGCCAACACTATGTGGCTTCATTGACGTTCTCATGTCCAGGTAAAGGCTACTGATTGCTGACCAGACTGAGCTTTCCAGCATAAATGTGCAAAACGTGCAATGATGGCTTTCATGTTACCTTCAGCACCTGATGGAAGCATTATTATTTCAGTTCTGCTTCTACATGAAGTCTGCTGAGGTGCTAAGCCAGATGTGCCTGACCCAGCAGGACTCTTCTTAGGGTCCCCATAAAGCGTCATATTTCCAGCGTGATGAACTTCCCCAGTTGCAAGCATTATGCAAACCTTCCTTATTCCAACTTTCCCTGGGAAAACTTGCATTTTACTGCTGAATCAGAGCAAACAGCAGTTGGGTTTTCTGTGGGCTGCCATTCAGTGATGAAGTGCATGTTTTCTTGGGGGAAATGCAGGAACAAAAAAGAAAAGGAAAGGAATACTGTTTTGGACATGGAGCTTTAAAGCCTGGACATGTGCCTGAAAAGCACAGTGCAAAAGGAAGTCTGGATGAGCCCTTAGTGTCCAACAGTCATACAGCTAAAACTCTACAATCCTTTGGGTAAATGTGCCAGTGCCAGAAGGCGAAATATGAAATAGTACCATTCTGGGGGCACTGCAGCCGTGGTGCACCCTCTGCCCCCATTTCCAGGGGGGTTTGCCCTTAGTCCCTCGAGTCAGGGAGCCAGCCATAAGTGCCCTGCTGGCGAGTGGGGGCCTCAGTCCTCGCCCCAGCTCTCCCCACTCCAGGGGGTGGCAGCTGCAGGGTGGGATTCCTGCCTGCATTCTGGAGGCATCTTCCCTTTCCCAGACTTGTCCCACATGCCCTGCTCCCTGAACTGGACAGTTCCCATCTGTTCACTGAGGGATCGCTCCTACTTAGTGTTGCCCAATGAAGCCTGGCTGAATGGCTACACTGGAAGCTGCGACCCTGCGCCCCTGGCGGGGGAGATGCCCGGGGCGCCCTTGAGCCCCGCTGGGTTGGGGGCGCCGTCGTCCGGCCGGCGACTCCGGAGCCGAAGGAAGAGCCAGAGGCCCAGCCGCAAGGGGTCCTCCTCGCCCTCCCCGCCCTTCCAGGCCCCACAGAGAGGGGGCCCTGGGCCCCGGGCCCCGCTCCCGCGCTGCCTGAGCCGAGGACAGGGCGCTGCTGAGGAGCCCATTCCGCCGCCGCCGCCGCCGCCGCGCCGCGCCCAGCAGCGCCAGCGCCGTCGCCGCTGCGCACAGGAGCGCGCCCGCCGAAGCGAGCGCGAGAGCGCGGTCTGAGGCGGCCAGGAGCGAGGGAGGCAGCGGCGGCGGCGGCGGCAGCAGGGAAACAGGCGCCTTCGCCCCCCGCGCGGGACCCTCCGCCCAGCAGCCGGCCTTCCCTTCCCTTCCCAGAGCGCCAGGACCGCCACTTCTTCCTCTCTAGGTGGGGCTGTTTCCTCCCTCCGGATTCGCGCCACTCCGAGCTGGCGCTTCGCCGCTTGTTTGGGTTTTGCCTCCTCGCTCCGCTCGCCTCACGCCTCGTGTCCCGGAGCTGCTCTCCGTCCGGGGAGACCCTCCTCCCGCAGCAGCCTCTTCCCAAGGTGAGGTGCGCCTCTCCCCCACTTTTCTCGGGGCGGGATCCATGGAAGCCCCGGCGACCGCGCAGAAACCCCCCCCCCCACGCGCCTTCTCGCTCGGCTTCCGCGCTCCGACCAGCTCCTTCTTCCCCGGAGAAGCCGAGGGGGTTGATCCCCTCCCGTCCGGCTGCCGGGGAGCCGGGCAGGGAAGCGCCGCGCATCTCGCCTTGTCTTCCCTCGGCGCTCTCCCTCGGGGCGCCTCTCCGGGGACTCACTCGGCGCCTGCCTTCCCCCTCGCGGGACGCCATCCCGGGCGGGCGAGGGTCGCCGAGGGAGGACCGGAGCAGGACTGGGAGGGAAGCTGTGCCCAGCACGGGAAATGATCCCCTCCCAGGCTTCTGGAGGATCCCTTTCCTTTTGATCTGACAGGCTCATTAATAGCCAACCCCCCAAGAACGGGCAATTAAGAAAAGCCACTTCCGTGGCCCCAGGGGCTGTAGCCAAGGGGGGCAGTTCATCCCAATTATTGAAAAGGAACAATACTCAGCTAACTCAAGTTCTGCCCCCCCAGCAGAAGCCTCCCCCCAAAAAAACCCTGCCCCCCGTAATGTCCTCTTTCAGGGCGGGATTTTGACCCGTTATCTCCGAAGAAAAGCTGAACAACTTTTGGGGTGATCTTCCAAAAAAAGCTCAACAACAACGCCCCCCTCCCCAAATCCCGGCTGCGCCCCTGAAAGACCCTTCTATTTAAGGCAATGAAAGGGCTGCTTGGAGGAAGACCCCGCCGCGTCCCGATGGGATGCCGCTTCCGTCATATGCGAGCAGGTTCAGTTCTGCGAATCGCAAAGTTATGTTGTGCTGCTGAAACCTGACAGGGAGTTTTGTCAGTGGTGTGATCCCTTCCTCTCAACAGCGTTTTTTGAAAAATGGAGACGGTACTGTTAAATGATTGCCAAAACAGCTGTGTGTTTTTTAACGAGAGAGAGAGAGATTTCCAGTGATCTCTTATTTGGATTCAGAGATGCAGGTCTATTACATGTATTCGACTAAGAAGGTGTGGTGTGGCATTTTACAACTTGAATCAAAATTTCTTTGTTCACTTAAAGTATGCATGCATAGTTTCTTCCTCTCCCTCAAGTCACATTAGTGGTGGATGCGCAAGTCAGTAGCTGTGATGCGGGCTGGGACAGACCCAAACAATATAATAGAAAGTATGGGTGACCAAAAGTCTGTGCCATCTCACCTGTTGTTTCAAATTTAGGTTAAATAAAAGTTTGGGAGTGTGGTATTGAGTCAGAAAGATAGCAATCCCGACTTACAGGAATTCAGATCAACTGCCTGTTTTATTATCAGTTATCCAATATAACAAGCTATTGGCTCATTTTAGCCTTTGACCAAAAAGAGACCACCAGCAAACCTGGAGACAGGCAGAGTCCTGTGTTCACCAGAGACCTGCAACCTAGATTGTAACTAATCGGTGACTATGGGGTGTTGCTGACATTATTATGAAGTTCCTGGCCCATATAGACAATGCCTCTAGACCAGTGGTTCCCAACTTTTTTTTTGGCCATGTCCCACCTAAGCATCTCTAAAATCCTGATGCCCCTCCCCCATGGCATATAATTCTTATTATTCAAAAAGTGAACTATTCACATGGAAGAAGCCTAAAAGGACATACACTGTTAATAACTCATTCTTGAATTGCCCCCCCCCAATCTAATCCCCCCCCCCGTGGGAACTACTGCTCTAGACGGATTTCAGAGACCAACACCTGAATCTTAAATTGTGTAAACACAACCTAAAAAACACTGTGTAAAACCTACTTCTGGGTAGAAGAAAAGTATACAGATTGTGCTCTCCCAACATAACCATCCCATTGCCTGCTACTTGTGCACCTAATACATAGCTGTTACACTAATTAGCTATTCATTGCAGGAATACAAAAAATGTTGAGCTGTTTAAATGGCATCAAAAATTGAGTGAATGTAAGCATAGTATAGGAGTGCTTTGTCAATTTTAGAAAATTAATATTTCTTATATGTTTAGTATTATGGCCAGTTGTGGCTAATCTATTATTACTTCTCATATGTTATTTGCTTTGTTTGCAGCAAGCGCTTGTACAGAATACACAGTGCATAGTTTGAAGTAGATCGGAAGTTTCTGGCAGATAACTATTTTAGCTTCTGGCATCTCTTCCTACTTACTAACTAGTCTGTAACTAGTATTAAAACATAATGTGACAAGGGAAGGTTTGTTGTTGTTGTTGTTGTTTCTGCCATTTAAAATATCTGAATATCTGAATATGAAAACATTTCACGATGGCACACTAGAATGCAGTTTAATGATTCACGGAATGAAATCACAATGCTTGTGAGGTGGACTCACATCCAACACTACAAAAGGCAAATGTAGGGCAGAATTCAGTCTATTGTGAACATTTTTATCCCACTGATTTCATTGGGAGGTTATTGAAAGATATCCTTAACTTCTCCATAGAGAGGATTACAAACGTTTTCAATTTCAGATGAGTCACACCCTTAATTATCATCTGATAAACTATATGAGCCTTTGTAGCCTAGTTAGTATTACCAAGTATAGTTGGCTCATTTTGAAACAAAAGTCATCCAAGTTGAACTAGAAAACCTGTTGCGTAGCTCTCAGAAGGTGAGACTGGGACCTCGCTGCTTCATCCCATGGGAATCATCACCTTGGCAGTGCCACAAGATTCACTGCTGTGCAGAAATGCCACCAAAATTCACCAGATTCAGGTCTGGAGATGAGCTTTTGTAGTGCTCATCTCAAATGAAGGAAGGAAGCCTTAGACGTTCCCAGATTCTTCCCTGGTTCTGTTGAAAATCAAAGGTAGAGAAAACTTTATGGTTGACTTCGCCTTTGAAGTGCTGTACCCAGCACAGCTGCTTCTGGGTGGGCAGGTGGGGGAACCTCCCCATAGAACAGAAGAGACCCCTAAAGAAGAGCCCAAATTGATATTACCAACCACCACCACCACAGCTTCTGGAACTCTTTTAGACTGGTTGTTTAGAAAGTCAACATAAAATGTAAAATATTCAGGGGCATTTTTTTAAAACAGCAACAACAACCCCAAAATAAATTACTATGTAAAATAATTATCAATGAAGTTGATGACATTGAATTTGACCTTGCCCAGGAGATCTTCTCAGCTTAACTTCCGCGCTACAGTGCAGTGCTTTTCAGGCCCTCCTAGGCAACACAAGAGATTAACATAGAAGGAGAAATACCGTAATAATGAAGGAATCAAGACTAACAGAACAGTTGAAACATGCAGGAAACTTTAAGTTGTCGTCATCATCATCATCTATTAAATTTATATACCATCCTTCATCTGAAGATCACATACTCAAGGAAATGAGCACTTAGTAGAACAACGATGAACTGTCATTAGAACAGATATCTCCAAAGGGGTTTTAACAGTCTGAAATACAACAGTACTGGGAAGGGCATTTCAACAGAATTATAGTATCTAAGATATTGCTATAGACAATGAATGGAAACAGTAGTATTTCAAAGGACAGAACATGCCCCAAATGGAATGTCAGCAGCTAGCATTCCGAGAACAATGGAAGTGTCCCTGCTGGTCTGGTACTGGTTCTGATGCTGAATGACAGCATATTGTAAAATGAATACAATGGTATTGTTCAAATAACTCTAAGGACCAAGTAGTACCTTCAGTGGAATTACAAAGCTATACACTTTTCCCCAATTGGAGAGATGTTTCAGTGGACTGATGGACCTGATGTTTGATAATAAGCACTAATGTGAGTATCCTGGAAAGTTATCTTGGCGGTGTGGTGGACAGTTTACTGGAAACACTGTTTCAGTGCAGAGCAGCGATCAACAGTGATTGGGTTTTTTTAATGTTGCTTTCATGTTCATTATTAGCAAAAGGACTGAAAACAGAACAGAAAGTATCATAATGTTTTAAAGTAAATTTGTGGTGTACCCCATTTGGAATATTATGTGCAGTTCTGGTTACCTGATCCTAAGAAAGATGCTGTAGTGCTGGAAAAGTACAGAAAAGGACAGTTACACCGATAAAATGTCTTTTCTTAGCACAAAGATGTGCAGAGCAGTCCGACAGAACAATCTTATACCAGATCCCTAGATGCACTGCAGATATACAGGCACAGCAACTGGCAAAACCTGTTGGGTAATATCTGGTTTTCAGCATTGCCATGTAACACCAGCTAAACATCACATCTGAAATAGGGATGGAGCTATGTAGAGGCATTGGCTGGCTTCACTCTTTTTCCTGCACACACACACACACAGTATATTGCCAGGTCAAAAATTATGAAACCAATATCACAATATGAACTTCAACCTGGTTTTGGATGATATATCGCACAGCCATAGTGCCTGCTCAGCCTTGTGGGAAAGGGGAAAGATATAAGTACATACATACCACATAATTTCCACCACAGTCCACCAAACATGGAGGTGCTGGCAATGAATACTGCATCATACACAGAAGCAAAGGCAATCAGTGACATCACAATGATCTGGGCATGTCCACAGCACACACCCCATGCATCACAGCACACCATGGTAACACAATGATGATATAGCAGATGGACTCTTCTTTTAAAGAGATTTGCAACATTTATGACTCTGTATATGTGAGATACTTTAATAGCATCACAGCACACAATGATACCACAGCAACCCCACTTCAGCGGCACAGTGGCTCCAGGGGAATGGGAGCAACTGTCTCATTGTAGAAATAACTATGGTATTGGTTAGAATTATTATTTTCAGTGCCTCTCCAAATATACATGTCAAATTCTACTCATGGCCTCTTTTAAAAAAGAGATTTGCAACATTTATGACTGTATATGTGAGATACTTGAATAGCATTTGTGAGGACCTTAAGTATACAGAAAGCCGGTGGGGGATGAATGATTTAGGCAATTCAATATATACATTTACCTGGGAGTGAGTCCATCTGAACTCAAGGGGGCTTACTTCTCAATAGATATACCTGTATATAGGATTTCACTGTTACAGTTCTGTTAACATTTCACCAGTTTGGGTGTGCACATGAAAATAATAGCTTGAGGACAAAGAAAAGTTGAGAGTGAGAGACCAAAGAACAGGCACACGCCTAGCAGTCCTGCAAGCAGGTGTCATTAGCTGTTCTTAGGGTGATCGCATAGTTTGTCTGCAGGCTGCCCCAGCTCATTTTCCCACAATCTGTCACTGAAAATAGTTCAGACTTTTGCCTCATACTGCGTTTTGTCAGGTTGCCCTTGATCAGCATCCCAACTTTCTGGTTTCTTTGTGCCAAAGTGAATGCTTCATTAAATTGAAACTAGCCTTCCTCCAAAATCCTTCACTCTGTTAGAACAGTTATCAGGTGATGCTCCACATCTTAGCTCCTTATCTTTTGTCACCTCTCCTCCATTCTTAGCACAATCTTCCCTTAAAATGAGAAACAAGAGGCGGAATTTGCAGACACTCATTCTTTCACTACTGATACCATCAAGACCAGCCCAGCCAGGGCAGCAAATAGTATAGTAATTCATGTATTGCTATATAAATTTACAACTATGGGGCTCCATTTGCATTTTCTTCCTTGTGTACCAGAATGTATTGGACCACCGCTGGACACCATGTTCATTTCTTCTGAGGAAACAAGTTTCTGGTCTCACACACACAAGCTTTGTCATTTCATAGTCTTGCAGAAGGAATTTAGATGGATATTTCTGCTTTGTATGCAAACAGGTGAAAGTGCTCAGTCAATCACAAATGCTTTGTGTTGGTTAGAACTAGATTTTAACCCATATGGCATAACTGCCTAAAGTTGTGGGAGAGGCAGTGTTAAATGGAACAGTAAACACAATGTTTATGTTGTTGGGTGAGTGGCTCCAGCCTTCCTTCATTATTGTTATTTTTTAAAAAATAGATATAGTTACAAAGTGGCAGATGCAAGCACTCTCTTGTTATTAATGAGTTTGCAAAAACTAAATAAGGGCATTAGTGTATAACATCCTAAGTGAAAATAACTGCTGACTCCTGATGTTGAAGCTTTTAAGAGGCTTGCTTTTTAAACCAGCATGTACTTGAGAAATGGGTCATGTGTACAAAGTATAGTTGACTTCTTTCCTTCTTCATATCCCTTGGAGTCTTTGTAACTTGCTGGACAAAGCTTGGATAAATAAATGTTTAACCCTATTAAACTTGTTAATTAACTTGTCAATTTTGAGTCAGGCTTCCGTACAGCCAATCTCCTGCTTAGTGAGAAACCAGGAAGCCTTTGCAATCTGCAACATGGTTTTTCCTTTTTCCTTCTCCTTTCGCGTCACAAATGGCTTAGTACCAGGCATTAGGGAAGGGGGTAAAGCAGCAAGGAGGGATTATTTTCCTTCTCTGATGCCTATTGTGAAGTGATAGAAAAGACCACAGCCATTCCATCTCCCAGTCTTTTGTACGTGCAAGAGGAGTCAAGGGAGGGACAGGATCTTATTTCACTTCATGCTGGGCTTTTGTAGAAGGCCCTTTGCCTCTGCTGAGTAGAGCCCAAGGGTCCAAATACAGAGGTGGTCAAAAGCATGGAGGCTCCAGGAAGTTTCTCATTTCAGTAGCTAGCTTTTGCAGAATGCTGCTGGGTGCTTGAGATGGGAAGCTTCCTAGAGCTTGATCAGAGAAACTTGGGAGCTGCACAGTCCCTTCCTCCCTCTAGGCTTGGGAGCATCACTGGGCTTGTTCACTGATGGCAAGGAGCCTCGGAGCAAAGCAAAAAAGCCATTGTCAGTGTTTGTTTGGCTGTATTTGAGCTGAGTTTGGCATTTACTATGTGGACAAAAAAAGATGAAACATGAAGAGTTAATTTAGAACCCTCCCTTTTTTTTGGTGGGCCATTCTCAAATTGACCGGAGAGAAATTTACTCAACAGTTTCAAGGCAACATGCAAGGTTCCTGTACAGTGGTACCTCGGGTTACAGACGCTTCAGGTTACAGACTCTGCTAACCCAGAAATAGTACCTTGGGTTAAGAGCTTTGCTTCAGGATGAGAACAGAAATTGCACGGCGGCAGCAGGAGGCCCCATTAGCTAAAGTGGTGCTTCAGGTTAAGAACAGTTACAGGTTAAGAATGGACCTCCAGAACGAATTAAGTTCTTAACCTGAGGTACCACTGTATAGTAGAATGATGAATGCTAGTTTGAACACCAAAGATGTCTGTATACAAGATGACTTGCCTAGTGAAATAAGTTAACAGCAATTTCAGTGTGTTTTGTGCACATTAACGATTTTCTGAAACATTTGTTTAAACAATATGTTTCTTCATTCCTTTCTTCAGTGTAAAGGACTAAACTTGAAATGGGGCCTTACCAAGGCAAGAGACTGTTCCTTTCTTGTCCTGCTTTGTGGGTGTCCTTCTGAAACATCAAACTTTCATTATATTTAATTATTGATTGGAAGCATTTTTCATGCCAGAGCAGCACTTTACACATAGTGAAATCACTTCTCTGGAGAGAGGAAATGTTTCAAGTGATTCTTGGGTTGATTTCAGTTTTGCAAATTGCTCAGTTCTGCCCCCACCTTTGTGTACCCAATAAACTTAAAGCACAAAACGATAAGCACAGTGATTATGCTACCATGAATCTCGTGGGTTCTAATGGCCTAATGCACTGAGCTTTAATTAGTAATATATATAATTTTTTTTACAAGAGCAATATTGTGAATGAAATGTAGATGAATGTGACTTTATATCTGAGTTTCCCAGAAGGTTTTAAATGGATTCCTGCTCCTGATGTGTGTCTAAATAATTAATAGAGTCGCTTCAAGGTTTTAGACAAACAAGGCTATTGGTTGCTAGTAAAGAAGAAGAAAAATGCCTTAGAACAGTGTTAAGTGCTCCCCTCTTTTCATGGAAGTTTGAGGTTTGGGGGCAAGATTACTGAGTTTTAGTTGCATTGAGTGAAGAGAGCACTGGAAACTTATGATGTCTTTATAATTTGCTTTATTTGCGAATATTCAAACAAAGCATATTACAAGTAAATAAGTACTACTTCAGCAGACAATCTTCAATATTTATTTCCAGGGAAAGCCCCTGTACTCGTTTCATCTTATTCTACCTAGAAACTCTCAACATTCTCCTCCTCTCTCAAATTCTATCCAAACGTAAACTGATTTTAAAGATTTTATCTGATCCCTAATGCTAGTTGGAGGGCATCATTTTTCCAAACTCTGCTTCATATTACATCCAATAGCTGGAGGGAGATTTCAGGCTATTCGGGGAACATTTCCTGTTATTATCTCCCACTGGTGAAACATGAACCAGTCAGCAGAGGCACCCAGGGGTGGGGTGAGCGTTCCACGGGGGCAGGGCAGTGAGCATGGGGGCAGCGCCACTCGCGGTGAGCGTCCCACAGGGGTAGGGTGCCGATGTCACCCCCCCCTCAGGGATGACACCCGGGGCGAACCACACCCCCTTCCTCCGCCAGAGGCAAATGTGGGTGAATCCGAGGCCAAAGTGGGTGGAGTAATGTATGTGAAGCTTTCCTTGGTGCAATAGGCTGATATCCAGTCGTGAAAAAGGTCAGAAGTTTACACAAACATACACACACCTCTCTGTCTTCCACCCTTGCAAGTAAGAGCCCATTCCAGCCAGGCAAAAACCCTTGAGGAGGGTGCAGAGTAGGGCCAGTGAGAGGTGTGGTGTGAGGAGGGGTTGTGGCTTAGGGAAAGACCCCAAGGGATGGTCAGAGGGGTCTAGAAGACTCCATTTGGCCCCCTGTAGAATATCTTCAGAAGGGAAAGTTACACAGCCTCTTTCTCTTGCCATTCCTCCTCCCAAACTGGCAGTCTTCAGCATTACTATTCATAGGTGAGGGGGACCCACCAGAATATTGTTTTATTTATTTGTGCATTGACATATTCAGGATCAGCACTTTCACAGAAGTATATCAAGCTGGTGTCCAATGTACAAGATATAATAAAATCAGTTTGGTGTTGTTGTTTTTTTAAAAAAACATAATTAAAAACTTTAATAAATTGTTGCATTAGACTGTTTGGAGAACTCATTACTGCAGAATTCAGCAACTTGTTTACCAGTTGGAACCAGGACCATGAAATAAGGTAGATAATGGTTGGAGGCTGCGGCATCCTTCGTTTAGAACTCTTCCTTCTTTTCAGTGCCAAGTGCTGCTTAACTGTCTGGGCCTTTTAGTTTGCTTGTTTCTTGATGGAATCTTATCTGCTTTGTGATCTGTTTTATTCTTTGGTATTTATTGTGGATATTATTCTTGCAACCTGCTATATGAGCTTCTGCTGAAGAGCAGCTAATAAATAATTTAAATAAATAAATGTAAAACCCAGCTTGCCACTTAGAAACCAAGAAAGCAACAAGTGACCACTCCATCCTGTATGTGGAATGCAAGTGCTTGTTTCATAAATTGTGTGTAGTGCTGCACACACTGGAGGCAGGCAGATGTTGTCCCCATCTTCAAAAAGGAGAAAAAAGAAGATCCAGGTAACAACTGACCAGTGAGGACCAGGAAATGTCCTGGAACAGACAATTGAACTCATTTTGTGATTACTAAGACCCAGCATGGGTTTCTTAAGCCAGTAGGGATGTGGGTGGCACTGTGGTCTAAACCACTGAGGCTCTTGGACTTGCTGATTGTAAGGTTGGCAGTTTGACTCCTCATGACAGGGTGAGCTCCCGTTGCTCTGTCCTAGCTATGGCCAACATAGCAGTTCGAAAGCATACCTGCGCAAGTAGACAAATAGGTACTGCTGCGGTGGGAAGATAAATGGCATTTCCTTGCATTCTAGCACCTGTCACAGTCTTCTGTGTGCCAGAAGTGGTTTAGTCATGCTGGCCACATGACCCGGAAAAGCAGTCTGCTGACAAAAGCCAGCTCCCTTGGCCTGAAAGCGGAGATGAACGCCGCAACCCCATAGTCAAATTCGACTGGACTTGAACTATCCAGTGGTCCTTTACCTTTACCTTACTATTAAGCCAGTGAATTCAAGTTACAAGAAAGGAGATTACAACTAATAATCAAGAAGAACTTTCTGACAGTAAGGGCTGTTTGAGATTGGAATGGACTCCCTTGGCAGGTTGTGGACTCCTGCTTACTAGAGTTTTTAAGCAGAGGTTCGATGGCCATCTGTCATGGATGCTTTAATTGATATTCCTGCATGGCAGGGGATTGGACTGGATGACTTTCAGGGTCCCTTCCAACACTACAATCCTATGATTCTATTGATGAGGGTTGCAGTGATGGGGATAGTCTAGCAGACTTCCGTGTCTAGTCTCCCATTCTGCTCAGGGTTTCCCATTCCTTTGCATGGTTTTTCTCCAGAGCTAGAAACAGTTTTCTCTGTCTGCCAGCTACACAGTCAATTTCTTCCTGATCTGGCAGAATAGTTATGTACTAGCCTAAGACACGACATGGTTGGCAGGCTGAAGAGCTTTATGCTGAATAGTATATTGCTTAGGTCCAAGCTATCTGAAAGACAGCATTCCCTCATATGAACCTGCCTAGGTTATGAGATCTTATAGGGGAGGCCCTTGCCTTGGTCTAGACACCTTCACAGGCATGCTTGGTAGCGATGTGGGAAAGGGTTTTCTTGGTGGCTGCTCCCAGAATTTGGAACTTCCTCCCTAGATAAGCTGGGGGGGGGGGGGTGTTACTGGGTTGTTGTTTTTATTTTGATTATGTATTTTGTGGTTTTGTGTGTTGATTTTATTCTGTGAGCTTCCCTGAGACCTCCAGGTATAGGGCGGTATATTATAATAATAAAATAAGAAGAAGAAGAAGAAGAAGAAGAAGAAGAAGAAGAAGAAGAAGAAGTAGTAGTAGTAGTAGTAATAGTAATAGTAGTAGACTGGCTCGCTCCTTGTCGTCCTTCTGCTGGCAGGTGAAAACCTCCTTATTCCAACTGCTTTTCATGAAACTGACTGCTTTTAATGAAAGGGCTGGTGCCGTGGTGTTTTTAATTATCTGTATCTTTTAAATAAATTATATATGTTTTTTAATGATTCCCCCCCCCCCCAATGTTTTAGCTGCTCTTATTTTTAACTGTAAACTGCCTTGAGTCCCTTCCAGGGAACAAGGTGGGGTATAATTAAATGTACAACAACAAGAAGGTGTGAGGATAGGTTTTAAAAATAAAATTGGTTGGCTTAGTGAAGTTAATACAAGTGTTTTCAATCCATATCAAGGAATTCCATAGTTCTGATAGAAAATAAACATTTTTTCACAGAATGCCGAAAACTCATCAGTGTCAAACTTCACAAGTCAAAAGCAGGTTTCCTCAACCTCGGCCCTCCAGATGTTTTTGGCCTACAACTCCCATGATCCCTAGCTAGCAGGACCAGTGGTCAGGGATGATGGGAATTGTAGTCTCAAAACATCTGGAGGGCCGAGGTTGAAGAAGCCTGGTCAAAAGGCCTTCTCCAGCAGATCTGAATGGGCAGGCAGAACAAGACAGGGGGAGGTGCTCCTTCAGCACACGGGATTGTTAAAAATTTGGGCTTTATAGACCCAAACCATCATCTTGAATTGAACTTGGTAGTGAATAGGCAGCTCTTTCAAGAGTGGCATTACATGGTCCCATGTTGCTCTTCTGTACTATTTCCAAACCGTCTTTAAGAGCAGCCAACTTACCACACTCTAACAGTAGACAAGCCCTTTTAGCGTGATTATCATGCAAAACTTGTTGACTGCGTAGAAATAAGAGCAGAATTTCAAACTAGGACATAAACTACAGTAGTATAGTATTTGCCAAACTTTTCAGAGTGGGTGTCTACTTTTAACAACAGCCTACATTATGACATCCACTTCTAAACATTTCCTAGATCTAGAACAAGTAAACCTGTAACAAAGATTGTTGCAGCGTGGAGAGCTGCTGTTCCCTCTTCCAAACCGCCATTGCCTCCTCCTCCATTGTTCCCCATTCTTTTCCATGACTTGCCTTCCTACCCAGTTTCCCTTTCTTCACTCCTTATTGGGTTGCTCTGTGGGCAATAATTAGCATCAGCAATAGGGGGAATGGTGTTCCTGCCTTTTTCATTTCTTTGCTTTTCTTCTTGTTTCTTTCCCCTTCTACCTCTTTCTTTCTTTTCAAAACTGTAAACTATTGGAAAAAAAGAAAAAGAAATGGGAGGTGCAATCCATTTTAGATATGGGTGCATCTCAATCCTGGAACCCGACTCAATAGATAGAATGAATTGGTGGAACTTAGGGACAGCTAATTACTGCAGGAAATACCGTAGCTATTGAAAAGGCACTGTTGTTTTATTTTAAGACATCAAGCAAGGGTTAACGGGCATTTAAATATTTTTGTAGCTGTTGTAAATCACAGTGCCCTAGCAGCTTCCAAATAACTTGAATGTACTGGCCATTTTCTTATTCCAAAGAGATAGGGGGGAAAGAAAATATTAATACAAGTAGTGTTGTCACCATCTTATTGAATTTGTGGTGTACAGGAAATTACACGGACAGCATCACCAGGAAAGATAAGCACATAATACTCAGAGTTAATGACACAATATTCTAACTCTCACTGTGTATATATTAGCACCTCTGATTTCACTCAAGTGACTGGCAAAGTATCATAGGTAATTAAAGCAAAATACAAACTGCTTTCATGAGTTGTGAGAGGCGGTTTAATTTAGGAGCTTATGGCTTAAATACCTGTCAATAGCAGAATCAAAACTGCTGTAATATATTTCATACAATAATTATACAACAATAGTACTGTATTTATTCAAGTCTAATGCGCCATTGAATCTAATGCGCACCTTAATTTTTGCAATGTAATTTGGCCAAAAAGGTTAGCATTACATTTGAGTAAATATTGTAATTATGATTATTATTAATGTCATTTATGAATCTCTTCTCATGCAGGATCCTTAAGTGATTTACAGTATAATAAATATATAAATGCTGCGTATATAAAAACAGCTAAAGTTGTTGCATAGATAAATACGTACACATGTGCTATCAAACAGCACTTCACGCAACTGGATCCCTTTTAGAATTCAGGATGTATGGGTGTGGATTTATTTTCTTGCTACTATTTATAAAATTTATTAGTTTTAATGTTTTTAGCCGTGTGTTCCTCAAATTCTTTTTTAGCTTCCCTTACTATCTGCTTGCAATCTTTCTTATACCAATGTTTGAGTTCTTTTTTGTTCTCTTCCTTTGGACAGGACTTGGCAGTTTTTGATGGACACCTGCTTGCCTCTCATAGCTTCTTTGACTCCGCTCATTAACCATGCTGGTGTCCTCTTGACCCTCATGGTACCTTTCCAGATATACACTCCAGCTGAGTATCTCATAATTGTGACTTCACCTTTCAGTGTCATTTTTGCCAATCTCTTGATGGATTTTCTTGGCAGTTGACCATTTACATGTATATTTAATTAATAGCACTATGGCCAATGCTCCCAGTTGGCTCAGCAATACTTATAGAATCATATAATCATAGAGTTGGAAGAGACCACAAGGGCCATCGAGTCCAACCCCCTGCCAAGCAGGAAACACCATCAGAGCACTCCTGACATATGGTTGTCAAGCCTCTGCTTAAAGACCTCCAAAGAAGGAGACTCCACCACACTCCTTGGCAGCAAATTCCACTGTCGAACAGCTCTTACTGTCAGGAAGTTCTTCCTAATGTTTAGGTGGAATCTTCTTTCTTGTAGTTTGGATCCATTGCTCCGTGTCCGCTTCTCTGGAGCAGCAGAAAACAACCTTTCTCCCTCCTCTATGTGACATCCTTTGATATATTTGAACATGGCTATCATATCACCCCTTAACCTCCTCTTCTCCAGGCTAAACATGCCCAGCTCCCTTAGCCGTTCCTCATAAGGCATCGTTTCCAGGCCTTTGACCATTTTGGTTGCCCTCCTTGGGGCACGTTCCAGCTTGTCAGTGTCCTTCTTGAACTGTGGTGCCCAGAACTGGACACAGTACTCCAGGTGAGGTCTGACCAGAGCAGAATACAGTGGCACTATTACTTCCCTTGATCTAGATGCTATACTCCTATTGATGAGGCCCAGAATTGCATTGGCTTTTTAGCTGCCGCGTCACACTGTTGGCTCATGTCAAGTTTGTGGTCAACCAAGACTCCTAGATCCTTTTCACATGTACTGCTCTCAAGCCAGGTGTCACCCATCTTGTATTTGTGCCTCTCATTTTTTTTGCCCAAGTGCAATACTTTACATTTCTCCCTGTTAAAATTCATCTTGTCTGTTTTGGCCCAGTTCTCTAATCTGTCAAGGTCGTTTTGAAGTGTGATCCTGTCCTCTGGGGTGTTAGCCACCCCTCCCAGTTTGGTGTCATCTGCAAATTTGATCAGGATGCCCTTGAGTCCATCATCCAAGTCATTGATAAAGATGTTGAATAAGACCGGGCCCAAGACAGAACCCTGTGGCACCCCACTAGTCACTCTTCTCCAGGATGAAGAGGAACCATTGATGAGCACCCTTTGGGTTCGGTCAGTCAGCCAGTTACAAATCCACTGAGTGGTAGCATAGTCAAGACCGCATTTTACCAGCTTCTTTACAAGAATATCATGGGGCACCTTGTCAAATGCCTTGCTGAAATCAAGGTAGGCTACATCCACTGCGTTCCCTTCATCTACCAGGCTTGTAATTCTGTCAAAAACGAGATCAGGTTAGTCTGACATGACTTATTTTTCAGAAATCCATGCTGACTATTGGTGATCACAGCATTCCTTTCTAGGTGCTCACAGACTGTTTGCTTAATGATCTGCTCCAGAATCTTCCCTGGTATTGATGTCAGACTGACTGGGCGGTAATTATTTGGGTCCTCTCTTTCCCCCTTTTTGAAAATAGGGCAACATTTGCCCTCCTCCAGTCTGCCAGGACTTCGCCTGTTCTCCAGGAATTCTCAAAGATGACTGCCAGTGGTTCTGAGATCACATCTGCCAGTTCTTTTAATTCTCTTGGATGCAGTTCATCTGGCCCTGGAGACTTGAATACATCTAAACTAGCCAAGTGTTCTTGTACTATCTCCTTATATCTCACACCAGGCCCTGGGCACCTCTCAATATTAAGTCCATGCTTGCAACCTGTCTGGTTGGTTCCAGCACCAGCTGTCTAGGGCAGTCATCTAGGGCATCTAGATTTGCCACTTTGTCCTGACTGGAACACATTGGTGGTCAGTTTTAGGGCTGGGCGATATCTGATATATCACGAAAATCATCAGCTAAATATCATGATATCACAGTATATACCTGTGGCAGTGGAGGGCCTTATCAGGCCGCCGCATGGTGGCAGAGGGTACCGCCTGTCAGGCTGCTGTCAGCGGCTCCTAGCTGGTTGCTCAGGAAAGTATGAAGACAAGGAAAAGTTTCTTACAGTTCTTTTTTATTTCAATCTTTACAGAGAGAGGCTATAGAACCCAGCCTCTTGGATAGTGGCCTTGTCCCGAGTGAAGCTCCACCCGCTTCTCTCCCACTTCTTCATTTGTCATTATCATCTCCTCTACAGGTGCTGCTACGTGCCCTCTGTCTTTGAGCTCTTTGCTCTCCTACTTTTAAGGCTTGCCCAGTTCCGGGAGATGGAGGGTCTGGAATGCTTTCTAATGACAATGTGTCAGCCAGGTGTTGCTAGGCTCTGCCTGCTCCTCCAACTTTCCCCCTCATCTGTCTCTGAACTGTGACCTCCCACAAACCACTGTTGTAAATCTATACTGTCTTCCTATTCCTCCTTCCTGGAAGAGTCAGGATGGGGAGGCAGTCTCCACCACCACTCCTCCTCCTCTGCCCAGTCCCTGACATCACCTTACCTCCCTGCAGTGGCAGAGGATGTGCCACGCTTCACCGCAGCTGCAGAGGGCCTTGCCACGCCTCCCTGCAGTGGCAGAGGGTCCTGCGGTACCGCCCCACAATGACAGCAGCAGAGGGCCTTGCAAAGGGCATGTTCTGTTGTTTCCAGGTGCCCAGAGCCACAGGGGCATTTCCTCTCCTCGTATGGTGTCTTCCTAAAGCGGCTTCCTGGATGGCCGAAGGGAGGGCCTGGCAGTGGGCCAGATGGAAAGCTCTTCGCTGTTTTGGAATTTCAAGGTTGGCTATATATGGCATCTGGGAGGTGAGGTGCCTTCTGGTTTCACTGATTAAAAATTTCAGGGACTTGGCTAGATCTGCTTGGTGTTCTGCATTTTTACCCACTGTTTGATGGGTTTTTTGGGGCTTGTTCATACCCCATGTTGAGTAGGATCTGTGGGGCGAAGCCTAGAGTTGTCATTATATTTATCACTACACATTTCCATATTGTTTGGAAACCGTCCTGAAGGGTTAAGGGAGCAAGACCACGCAGGGGGAAGGATAATCTCAGCCAATAATTTAGTGTAGCAAGCCATACTTTGGCCTCGATTCTCACGAATCCGGTTTTGAGATATATAGCAGCATCGGAGATGTGTTTAGGCACTTGTAGGGCTGAACATAAGAATTCACCACCTCTAATGGTGTGCAATTGACAAGGGGCCAAATAGGGCACCATAAACAAACTGTGCAATGGATTTGGCCTCAAACAGTTTGAGGGCTGCAGGTATATATTGTCCGCCTTTAGTCCTAAGGTACCTGTATAGAATTTATGCTTCTCTGGGCATTCCCTGCAACATAATCCCAGTGGGCTTTTCTGTTTCCCAAGGAATGAAGGGTTATACCCAAATATTTGAAGCAGGTGACCTGATCAATGTTATGACCATCAATGTACCATGAGCAAGGTTTTGGCCTTTTGACAAAGACCATGATTTTGGTTTTCTGATAATTGAGTTCTAGTTTGCTCTCCTTGCAGTACACTGCCAGTGTTTTCACGGTTCTTTTAAGGCCCGTAGGAGTTATTGAGAGGATTGCTGTGCCATGGGGGACAGTGGTCGAGCAGGTGTGGGGGACTCCCTGGTCCTGAATGGGGTAACTATGCCCCTGAAGGACCAGGTGCTCAGCCTAGGAGTCATTTTGGACTCACAGCTGTCCATGGAGGCACAGGTCAATTCTGTGTCCAGGGCAGCTGTCTACCAGCTCCATCTGGTATGCGGGCTGAGACTCTACCTGCCCGCGGATTGTCTCGCCAGAGTGGTGCATGCTCTGGTTATCTCCCACTTGGACTACTGCAATGTGCTGTATGTGGGGCCACCTTTGAAGGTGACCTGGAAACTACAACTAATGCAGAATGTGGCAGCCAGACTGGTGACTGGGAGTGGCCACCAAGACCATATTACACCAGTCCTAAAAGACCTACACTGGCTCCCAGTACATTTCCGAGCACAATTCAAAGTGTTGGTGCTGACCTTTAAAGCCCTAAACGGCCTTGGCCCAGTATACCTGAAGGAGCGTCCTCACCCCCATTGTTCAGCCCGGACACTGAGGTCCAGTGCTGAGGGCCTTCTGACGGTTCCGTCACTGCAAGAAGTGAGGATACAGGGAACCAGGCAAAGGGCCTTCTCAGTAGTGGCCCCCTCCCTGTGGAACGCCCTCCCATTAGATGTCAAGGAAATAAACAACTGTCTAACTTTTAGAAGACATCTGAAGGCAGCCCTGTTTAGGGAAGTTTTTAATGTTTGATGTTTTATCATGTTTTTAATACTTTGTTGGGAGCCGCCCAGAGTGGCTGGGGAAACCCAGCCAGATGGGCGGGGTATAAATAAAATCATCATCAACAACATCATCATCATCTGCATAAAGCAGCACAGGGATATGCTTTCCTGCTCATTTTGGAGGGTGGAAGTTCATATTGTGGAAGGGGGTACCATATCATTTATATAGAAATTGAATAAAGATGTAAACTGTATTCTCCGTTTAGTTTTATTTACTCCAGGGTTGCCCAACCTTTCATGCTAAGTGGGCCGTGAGAGTACTTTGACACAGAACCCTCAGGCTGCAAACTGCCTTGTTGCATGGGGGCAGGGAGAGAGGCCAAAATCCCCCCCCCCTTTGCATTGCCTCCGCAAAGCCAGCTAAGTGAGTTGCCAAGGATTTAGGCCCTGTCAGAGCCCTCCTTCCCAAAGCCCAGCACCTCACTTACCCATCTTGATGGAGGCAGTGTGTGGGCTGGGGGGATGCAAACGTTCCCGAAGGCCGCCAAAAAATACCTCAAGGCCCAGACATAGGACTACTCTACTTTACCCTTAAAGGTAAAGGTAAAAAGGTAAAGGGATCCCTGACCGTAGTCGCAGTCGGCTCTGGGGTTGCGGCGCTCATCTCGCTTTACTGGCCGAGGGAGCCGATGTTTGTCTACAGACAGCTTCCAGGTCATGTGGCCAGCATGACTAAGCCGCTTCTGGCGAACCAGAGCAGCACACAGAAATGCCGTTTACCTTCCCGCCAGAGCGGTACCTATTTATCTACTTGCATTTTGATGTGCTTTCGAACTGCTAGGCTGGCAGGAGCTGGAACCGAGCAACGGGAGCTCACCCCGTCGCGGGGATTCGAACCGCCGACCTTCTGATCGGCAAGTCCTAGGCTCTGTGGTTTAGATCACAGTGCCATGCGCATCCCTCTGCTTTACCCTTACATCACATTAAATGGCACACTGACCCAAATGTCTATGTCAATATATAATAGCATAGCCTTGATGCCATGGGGTTTTGTGACATCTATGAAAGACAATTATTTTATATACTAGGGCTCTGTAGTTTTGAAATTGATAGACTGAGAAAATAGTTGATTTGTGCTGATTCTGGGGGGACACCACCGCTATGCTGGTTTGACATGTTTGTTGGGGTATCAGGGAAGTACTTTTGGCATATTTATGCCAGCAGCATATTTCAGATTCCATTGCCATAGCAGATCACAGGTTGATCACAGGTTGATAGTACATCTAATTTATCACTTGCTAATGTGAAACAAAGTATGACTTCTCTTTTTGACATTAAATGCAGAATTCTAATTTAAATAAGTGCTGCTGATAGAACTATCATGAACTGAGAAATTTAATTGAAAGCTGAATTTAAAAACACAACAATGTAACATTAATTGCAGTTTTTGAACTCAGCTTTAAAGTGTTATATATTCATATGGTTTAATTAATTTCTTAATCCAAAACAAACCCATAGAATTAGCTGACATTTCAAAAGTTTATAAATTTACTTTTAAAACACTGGGAGACATTGTATTTCCTGGAAGGGCACTTTGTCTGCACAGATGCCAGTGGGTTAGTTATGGCGGTGATGTAGCTTTTCTAGATGCACAGCAATATATAACAAATGATGCCAGTCTCAAATCTCTTAATGGAAGATTGGCACATTGACTGCAATGGGCACTTTGGCACTATCCAAACATAGAAATTGGACTCTGGTTGACTTCAGAGGGAGAATTACACTCTAAATGTTTTGAGGCTGAAAGAAAAAGATGTCTCTCGCTTTATTCAATTTTCAGATCCCTTCCCACTTCTATCAATGTCATCAGCATGCTGATATAATTCAATTCCATCTTCCATTAGCCGCTAATGCCACATTAGGCTGGCTAGCTAAATTAGATCCTCCCTAGGTGTTTGCTCTTGGCTCTCATCGTATGTATGAAAGAAGCAACCTGGTCTCCCCACTGGTTTCTCGCATTTGTTCCTAATGTACTCTGCCCACCCTGTCCATTCTTTCCAATCAATTTTATTGGCTACATTAGTGCTTTCCCAGCTTTAATGACTTGGGGCTTCAGATATAAAACACTAAAAAAGACAAACTCAACCTAACTAAGAACAGAAGCTCAGAATGGATGAAACTCAAGTAGTACTATGGCCTCATCCAGAATTATAATCTTAAAACAGTTGTTTACAAGGTTAGATCAGTTCCATCCCGGTACTAAAAATGTGATTCTATAATCGTATATCTGGTTTCACGAACAGTAAAGGTGCTGCTTTCATTGTTGCACTGCTGCTATAATCAGTGGTGCTTTAAACAAGTTGCACATTGAATAATTTAAACTCAATCTTTCTTTGGAATGGAATGGAATTTTTAAAATTCATATTGAGATGAAGCAAGCTGTTTACAGGCTGGCAACATGGCGAAGGCATGCATGGTGCCCAGTGACTTGTTCCTGCTGGTCCTTGCCTTCCTGAGGTAAAACCATTTCATGCTTTTGGAAAGATGACTGTTGTGACAAAGTAAGACCCCACTGCCATAGGCGGCAGGTCTAGGGGGCCACAGAAAATTTGTGGGTGCTTAGCACCCACAATGCGGGGCTCTGATGTGACTTGTGGTTTCTACTTGAAGTCATGTCACAGCCCCAACGCAACCTCCCAGAGGGTGTCACAGGCCCTGCCAGGCCTCCAAAAGTGACTTCAGGTAGAAACCGGAAGTTGCACTGGAGGTTTCGCAAGCAGGGGTGGAGGAAGGGGGGTGCGGTGGGGGCGGGGCTCCCTGGGTGTCTCCACTGAGCGGGGTGAGAAAATGCCAGGCGGCACTCACCGTGGGGCCAGCAGCACACCTGAGCCTCGCGTCTCTCCTGGGAGTGACGCGGTGGCTTGGGCACCCGCAGGCTCCGCACGGCTGCAAATGGTCCACCCACTGCCTCCCCCTCAGCTGTAGGGTGGCTGAGTGGGAGGAGGCAGGCAGACTCCTCAGAGGTCTCAGAGGCCCTGCGTGGCGTCCTGCCCCGCCCCTGGGCACAGGGCACGCATGCTGTCCCAGGGGCCCGATCAGCTTGCTCTGCCGCTGCTCTTGAGGCCTAGGACATGACCTCCAAGACCCCACCGGTGTCAGAAGCAACGCCCGAGGCCTTTCCAGACCTCTGAATACAACTTCCAGTAGGATCCAGAAGTCACGTCGGAGGTTTTGTGAGGATTTGAACGTAACCTCCAAGACCTCGCAAGGCTTCAGAAAGACTGCTACGCTGCTGCGGTAACATGACATCACAACATCACGTCACGGGTGTCATTGGGCACCTATAACCTGGGGCCCAAGTCAGCGCCTCTGTCCACCGCTGCTTCTCTCCTTTATACTTTCAACTACTGGTTGAAGTCACCAGAAACCAAAAAGTGGCAAGCTGTTCCCAATGGTCCTCCTGCAAAGAACGCAAAGAGAGAATCTTCATCCAGTTTTGATGGCTCCAATGAGGGTGAGAAGCCCCCAGCTAGAAAACAAGTGGCTAAGCTTGCTGCTTTGCCCAAAAATGCCAGTAAAGGCAGCTCCTGACAGTGCAGAGAGTAGCAGTGATGATTCTAGTGACTCTTCTGATTCAGAGCAAGAAAAGTAGTCAGCCAAGAAGACAACAGAAAGCTACCCCAAAAACAAAGGCACAGAAGATGCCTAGAAGTTGTATTTCAGATTCAAGTAGCTCAGAAGATGCGGCTCCAAAGAAGCAGCAACCAAAGCCAGGGGAAGGCCAAAAAAGGCAGCAAAACCAGCAAGTTTATGCACCCATGCCATAGAAGGCAAGCCCTACCAGGGAGGGTAATTAATTAGGGCATTTCAGCTAGAGGATTCCAAAGTACCATGTCCATAGAAACTTTTGGTGGACCACATGAGTCAACAGTGTGATGCAGCAGCAAAAAAAGCTAATGCTATTCTAGGCTGCATCAACGGATGTATAGTGTCCAGATAGTAGGGAAGTAATAGTACCACCTATTCTGCCTTGGTCAGACCACACATGGAATACTGTGTCCAATTCTGGGTTCCACAATTTAAGGATGTTGACAAGCTGGAACGTGAACAGAGGAGGGCAACCAAGATGATCAAGGGTCTGGAAACTATGCCTTATGAAGAACGGTTGAAGGAGTTGGGTATGTTTAACCTGGAAAAGAGAAGAATGTCACATGGAAGAGGGAACAAGCATGCGTTCTCCTGTTCTGGCCTGAACCAATGGCTTCCAGTTACAAGAAAGGTGATTCCGACTAAACATCAGGAATAACTTTCTGATGGCAAGAGCTGATTGACAGTGGAACAGTCTCCCACAGGAGATTGTCGACTCTCTTTCCTTGGAGGTTTTAAAGCAGAGGTTGGATGGCCATCTATCATGGATGCTTTAGCTGAGATCCCTGCATTGCAGCGGGTTAGACTAGATGACCCTTGGGATACTTTCCAAATCTACAATTCTATGATTCTATGATTTATATTCCTGGTTGGTGGCTAGTTCACTCTGAAGAAGGAATTGTGGTTCCCACAATGTGTGTATGAGATGGCAACTGAGATTATATATTTGGTCCTGGGGACTCAGTTGCCAATTCCTTGTTAATCAGCATTTTGTTTGTTGGTTTTAGAGTTCAAAGTACTTATTTCAGGCATGTTAGGACCATTCTTACATTGTGCAGCCTTCGAGGCTTTTAAACTACCGGTATATCACTTTTGGGACATGGGTGGCGCTGTGGGTTAAACCACAGAGCCTAGGACTTGCCGATCAGAAGGTCGGCGGTTCGAATCCCCGTGATGGGGTGAGCTCCCGTTGCTCAGTCCCTGCTCCTACCAACCGAGCAGTTCGAAAACATGTCAAAGTGCAAGTAGATAAATAGGTACCACTCCAGTGGGAAGGTAAACGGCATTTCCGTGCGCTGCTCTGGTTCGCCAGAAGCAGCTTAGTCATGCTGGCCACATGCTGTACGCCGGCTCCCTCGGCCAGTAAAGCGAGATGAGCGCCTCAACCCCAGAGTCGGTCACGACTGGACCTAATGGTCAGGGGTCCATTTACCTTTACCTTTACCTTTATATCACCTTTGACCCTGTCCCTCCTTCTAGGGATGTTCCATTTCATTTTTTGAACCTCTTGCCTGCCTGTCACTTTAAAAAGAGCTTGAAGGGGAAGATGTTATTTGTATGTCAAATACAAGGAGGTCACTTGCCCTCTTACATATAACAACATTAGTTCCATTTCAGAAGGTTAACAGTGTCACTCTCACACTGCTACACAGTGTTCTTCAAAAACTATGAATCTTGTGGCACCTTAAAGAGTAACACTGACCACAAGATTTTGCTTGAATGCTGCTTTGCTGCTTTGGAAAATAGCCTACCTCTTAGGTGTTTTGTAAGGCAGCTCAAGGTCCATCCGCTTCTGCTTTCGTGCCCCACTTTCATTATTAAGAAATAAAAAACTGGCTATAACCTTTACTCCCTTTTGTCAGAAGTGGATGAAATTATTTTATTATTTATTTTATTTGACAGAAGGAGATGACATTTGCAGGCATTATTTTTTCTTTCAGAGGGGATAAAACCTAGCAAGTCAGCTTAAGGGCTTTTGTGTGGGGCACCTTTAAAGTTTGATTTATTTTTAAAGGAAACATGTATTATTATTTTATTTGGGTTCAAAATTAAATGATATTTGCAGTGAAAGTTGTACAGTTTGTTTTCTGAGGGCATTAATCCTGTCAAGTTTCAGAACAATTGCTGCAGCAGTTTTCCTGAAAAGGCAGCTTTCACATTTTATTTTATGTTTACCCATCCTAAAACTGTCATTGCCCCTAGTTGTGAACTATTTGTGAACAATTGGTCTGAAACCTGCAGACATGGAAGAGGGGCCCCAGCAAAAGGCACCAGCCAAATTGCAGAAAAATAGTTCCGAGGGTATTGCGTTAGGCACTCAGTGCTGATTTTGAAGTGATAAAAACTAAAAAGGATTTGTTTTCCAAGTAAAATTATTCTCCCTGACAGAATCTAGACCTGTCAGTCACAAAGGAGGCTTCCCTCCACCTTCTCTCCACTCTGATGGATGCTGTCTCTTCCTCCATTACTGTACCCTGAAACTATGGGAAGCTTAGAGACATTGCTTCCATTTCAGCGTATGCTTGCTGCAGATAGTGTAGGCAAATGGATTTTGTGGTGTGTTCTGGGAGGAACCTGGAAGCATGTGTAGCAATCAGTGTGTTTTCTGTTTAAAGAGGGGCTTATAAACTTTCACAATAATGTCCAGAAAGTAAAATTCATGTATAGACTGGTTTAGGCTCAGGTTGATGGTGGAGTGGAAGACATTGAAGTTCTGGTAGAACTGTAGTAGGCCTTCCTTCCCATGATTCCCAATGATGAAGTCATCAATGGTATCTCAAATAGAGGAGAGGTTTTTGGGGAACAGAGCTGAGAACACATTGTTAAGTCAGCCATGAAAATGTTAGCATAAGGCAGGCATAGGCAAACTCAGCCCTCCAGATGTTTTGGGACTACAACTCCCATCCCTGACCACTGGGCCTGTTAGCTAGGGATGATGGGAGTTGTAGTCCTAAAACATCTGGAGGGCTGAGTTTGCCTGGCATAAGGCAAAAGCATCAAAGGTCATAGTTTTGTAGCCAGGTGCGCAGTAGTTTCATCAACAAACTCTTATGGCTTGCTGTCCATTTATCTGGGGGATATTGATGTAGATTGTCAAGAGATTGTGCAAAAACTGCGAAGTCAGTGGTATCCTTGGAGTACTTGCGGTATCTGGTCTGAGAAGGAAGTCCATATAACCCAACTCTGATATAGCTGTGAAGCTATGGGTTGCACAGAGTTACTCAGTTTGTGGGGGTTTTTTTGGAGCAAATAGAAGACGCCCGAGGCTTGTATGTAGTTTTGATCCTGCTCATCTATGGGAAATTCCTTATCAGGTTATGTAGTTCCTCCTGCATTTTTGAGGATAAAAAGCCTGCAAAAAGTGGGTTTGGAGAGTTGCCTCTCATCTTCCTGTTTGAAGTCCACTTTGTTCATAGTGATGACAGCTCTTCTTTTGTCATCCTCTTTAATTAGCATTGTTTCTGCATCTTTAGCTTGATATCTCAGTTTATATTGACAATATATTACATTTTTTATACATAAAGAAAACTAAATGGTGCAAATAATTATTAAGGAAGTAAGCATATAATAAGGGTTTCCAGTGCTGAACTTCTACACTTAGTTCCAGTGTCTTGCTGTGCACTTTTTTGTAGACTTTGTGGGAAGCCATGCTCTTTCCTGAAAAGTAGCTGCCAGAAAGCGCCCCGAAACCCCCAGGAATGCAAAAACAACCAAAAGTCTTGCGGCACCTTAAAGGCAAACACATTTTATTATGGCAGAAACTTTCATATCCTCTTTATTATGTATGGCACAAGACTCCACTTCATCCGATGAATGAACTAGGAAACCAAGTTACTAATGCAGCTGCTTTAGGGCTTCATTAGATCTTATATGGCAGACAAGGATAACAATGCCCTTGCTGTTTATAGAAATTAAAAGCAGCTGCAGGAGACTATGGATTATTAGCGTGCAGGAATGACGAGAAAAAAATAGGATTTTGACTTCTGTCTTTTTCCAGATCAAAATTGCCCCTCTCCCACCTGCCTTTCTGACTGCAGGAGAAAAAACATTCTATCCTACATAAAATAGAGGGAGTGGGGGTGGGGTGAACGCAGCAGCAGCACTAAAACCAAAGGAAGGAAGCATCGGCCACCCCTCTCCCTGTTCCTCCGCTCCTGATCACACTCCCTTGCTGCAGCTTGCCATGATAAAATTTTGTCATGAAGGGCCTATACAGTGGTACCTCGGGTTACAGACGCTTCAGGTTATAGACTCTGCTAAGCCAGAAATAGTACCTTGGGTTAAGAACTTTGCTTCAGGATGAGAACAGAAATCGTGCTCCGGCGGCACGGCAGCAGCGGGAGGACCCTTTAGCTAAAGTGGTGCTTCAGGTTAAGAACTGTTTCAGGTTAAGTACAGACCTCCAGAAGGAATTAAGTACTTAACCCAAGGTACCACTGTACTAGTTTGCCATGTGAAATCTAGTTGGGCCCTAAAACAGATGTAGTAGAAATGCAAGTGAGAATGAACCGCTGGTAATTTTGTGCTTTATTCCTAGAGTGAATCCATTCATTTTACTTTAAAAAGAATAGAAAGCAAAAGTCAGTTTTAGTATGTATCAAGATTCAGGAGTATATAAAGGTGTATTTTTTTATTGTTAAAGAGGCTATATGTTGTTTAATAGATTAAAACACAAGAATCTGTCCCCTGTCATTCATGATGTGGCCCTGCCCTTGAGGCTACATCTTTATTGCATTGTACAGGGTGCTGCCCTTGAAGACTGGTCCAGAACATGACTATGGGCTTCCTGGCAGGGTACAGAGAAGGAGCATATAATAGTATAGTGTACTGGTTAGGGTGTCCTAGTCTTAGGACCTGGGAAACCAGGGTTCAGATCCCCACTCAGCCAGGAAGTTCATGGGGGTGACTGGCCCATCACCAACTCACAGGGTTGTACGCATGGTGTACTTGACACTGGACTGCACTTTGGAGAGTTCACCACAACATGGTAGCCCTCCTTCTGAGATCTTTTTGAGATTTTGGAGGAAGCCTTTTTCCAGGTTTCCCCAACACCTGAGCTGAGGATGGTGGTGACTGGTGAAGACACCTTATCAGCACCCCTCCCTCTTCATTTAGGTACCAGTTAAAAAATAATAATTAGGCCTTTCTTTAATTTGTGCTTTTTTTACCTCCATTCTTTTTACTTCTGTTTTGTTTTGTATCAACCTGCTTAGGTGTGAAGTTTATGCTCTTATCTTTCTCTACCTATTATATTTTTTGTTGTTTTATTATAGTTCCTTGTTTTCTGTTAACTGCTATCTTAACTTTTTCTTTTTAGTTGCCTTGAATCCTTTTTTAAGATGATGACAGGACGAAATGTGTTTCTTTGTTTCAGAATTAAAAACAATAACAAACCCCAAATGCCTTTGATGAACTGCACTTACGTCCTCACCCTGTGCAGTGTGGCTCATAGCACTGGGCTGGATGGCTTCAGCCCTGGCCAAAGGTCACTGTACTGCTTAGGACCCAGCCACTGCACACTCCTTTGTAGAAAACACCCCGCAGTAATAGGAAAGGGATCACATTCCAAGGAGATGAGACAGAGCCATATTGTGATTTTCTATCAGTGTCACTGAGTCTTTTGCACTGTGGCAAGATAGGGTGTCCTGACCAAAGGAGAGACAGACTGTCGCGTTAGGCAGTGCAGAAAGGAGCTCTGATTTTTCTAGGTGCTTGCGTACAAATTTATTTTAGTTTTGCACAGTAAAGTCTTAGTTACATCCCGTCTGGATTACTATAACGTGTTCTACATGGGGCTGCCTTTGAAAATCGCCCAGAAGTTCCAACTGGCTCAAAGAGCTGCAGCCAGATTGCTGACCGGGGCTGGTTACAGGGAGCAGATCACTCCCTTGTTACAACAGCTCCACTGGCTATGGGTCTATTTCTGGGCACAAATCAAAGTGCCGGTTAAGACCTATAAGTCCCTCAATGGCTTAGGACCAAGCGATCTAAAAGATCATATTCCCTCATATGAACCTGCCCAGGTTCTGAGATCTTCGGGAGAGGTCCTTCTCTCAGTCCCACCACCCTCACAGGCCTGTTGGGAGGGCAGGGACATGGGAGAGGGCCTTCTTAGTGGCTGCTTCCAGACAACTTTGGAACTCCCTCCCCAGAGAAGCTAGACTGGCTACTTCCTTGTTGACCTTCCACTGGGAGGTGAAGACTTTCCTGTTCCAATAGGCTTTTGGGAACTGACTGCTTTTAATTAAAGGGATGGTGCTGTGCTGTTTTTATTGCAATTATTTGTATGATTTTAATAGATTAGACATAATATAGTTTTTATTCTATTGATAGAATTAATGGAATTAATTCTATTAATTCCATTTTCCCCTCTCCATGTTTTTAGCTGCTCTTATTTTTATCTGTAAGCCTTCTTGAGTTCCTGCAGGGAATAAGGCAGGGTATAAATAAATATAGAAGAAGAAGAAGAAGAAGAAGAAGAAGAAGAAGAAGAAGAAGAAGAAGAAGAAGAAATTTTATTTATATCCCGCCCTCCCCAGCCAAAGCCAGGCTCAGGGCGGCTAACAACAAACAAATAATCAAACAATCAAATAATCCAACATTCTAAAACATTTCATTATAAAAATTAATTAAAATCAAATTAATGGCAACCGTTAAGCAAAGTTCTGTGCAGGTTGCCAGAGGAAGGAGTCAGGCTGGGCCCTGACCAAAGGCCTGGTGGAACAACTCTGTCTTGCAGGCCTTGCGGAAAGATGTCAGGTCCCGCAGGGCCCTAGTCTCTTGTGACAGAGCGTTCCACCAGATTGGAGCCGCAGCCGAGAAAGCCCTGGCTCTAGTTGAGGCCAGCCTAACCTCTCTGAGGCCTGGGACCTTCAGGATGTTTTTATTTGCAGACCGTAGGTTCCTCTGTGGGGCATACCAGGAGAGGCGGTCCCGTAGGTACAAGGGTCCTAGGCCGTATAGGGCTTTAAAGGTTAAAACCAGCACCTTAAACCTGATCCTGTACTCCACCGGGAGCCAGTGCAGCTGGTATAGTACCGGATGAATGTGATCTCGCAGCGAAGACCCCATAAGGAGTCTCGCCGCGGCATTCTGCACCCGCTGGAGTTTCTGGATCAGTCTCAAGGGCAGCCCCACGTAGAGCGAGTTACAATAATCCAGTCTGGAGGTGACCGTCGCGTGGATCACAGTGGCTAGGTCAGGGCGAGAGAGATAAGGGGCCAACTGCTTAGCTTGGCGGAGATGAAAAGAAGAAGAAGAAGAAGCAGCAGCAGCAGCAGCAGCAGCAGCAGCAGCAGCAGCAACTGCCCATAGAATACAAAGCCTTGTTGACACTTGCATTTTGCCCTTGTTGTGATCATGCTGGTGAGTTCAGATGAGTCTGCATGTTACAGAGCAGTTCAATAAAGCTTTGAATCTCTAAGGGTAGATAATTATCGTATAGGAGGGTTCTGTTCGGCTCCAGAAACTGAGAAGGGTTTGGTGGCTTCTTCCAGTAGACTACTTCTCAGTAATTAAGGCCAATTGAAGAACATGAGTAATCAATTTAGCGTTTAGGAGCCAGATGCTTTTAAGCTCCAATATGAGTTTGAGGTCCAAAACAGAACTTAAGATGGGGGTTGAATAACTAGGCAATTTAAGTTATTCAGGTGTTTCATGTCAAAGCATGGCTGGTACCTACCAACACTCAAGTTTAATCAATGACTAGGCCTGGGCAATGTATCAATACATCACCCAGGATCAGTATGAGGCCGCGATAATCTGGGTGAAGCTGCCATTATGCTTTGGCCCTTATACCACAGAAGGAACGCGTGGGCAGGTGGCTTCTTTAAACTGCTCCGCTGGGGGGGGGGGGTTTGCCTGTGCCTCAGTGGGGCAGTTTAATGAAGCCCCCACTGCAGCTCACATGAGCTAGAGGCAAGGGGCTTGATCATTAATTTTTTAAAACCAGATACTGACACTGATACAAGGCAAACCTTAGGGCTCATGCATGCTGCTATTGCAGACTTCTGGTGGGGGATATGACCAGAGCCTGTGGTGAGCATGGGAAAAGCCAAGGTGTGTGTGTGGGGGGGGGGGAACACGACGACACCCACCTTCTTGCTCTTTCTCTCTGTCAACCCTTTTCTCTCTTCCTCTCCCTCTTTTTCTTTTAAATGTGCATGTCACTTGACTCAAGCTTCAGTAATTCTGTAAATTTTCTTTTAAATACAAAGCATGTGTGTACACAGACCTGCTTATGAATACTTCAGCTGTAGGGAAAGATTTATACAAATTAGCATCAGAGTGAATATTGGATACTTCATAAAGTAGACAGTCATTGTTACAGATGAAGTCTCCTTTGGTTGAGATGTTAAAATTTAAAACAGAGAAGTTCAAGCCACAATCCTACATATAGTTACAGGCAGTCCTTTTTTTTTCTTTAAAAAAAAAATGTTTAGGGGTACTCTCATTTTCCTACTCATATTGAAATACTGCCCCTCAATGAATCCAAACTTAGATTCACAAAATGTTTAGAGGTATGTGTCCCCCCAGAAAAAAGCACTGGTTTCGGGGAAGTATGTCCCCGACAAACTCAAGGACCTTACTTCTGAGTAAATATATTTGGATTGGACTCTAAGGGAGGGAGCGCAGGATGGAAAAAGTCTTACAGTGCAGTCTTAGGCATTTCTACTCAGAAATAAATCTCAATGGGTTCAGTGGGCTTACTCTGCTTAAGTCAGCGGATATTTTAGCCTTTAAAAGGGAGATAGGGAAGAAAGGCAACAGAGAGCACCAGGGAGAGAATTAAACAGTGGTGAGAGGGGGAATTAAAAACTACTGAGGTGAAAAGAGGAAAGGCACATTGGGGAAGCTGGAGAATGAAGCTTTTGGAGATATGCTGGCCTCTTTAGAATCAGAGCATTTTAGAGTTGGAAGGGACCTTGGAGGCATCTAGTCCACCCCCTGATCAGTATAGCATTTACAGTGCAGGATCTGCAACTGCAGCATCCTTGATTGATGTCCATCCAGCCTCTATTTAAATACCACCCAAGGCAGTTTGTTCCACTGTTGAATCTGCTTCCCCATGATTTTCTAACAGAGAAGAAGTCAACATCAGTGCTTCCCAAACCTTTCTCCCAATGGACCACCTGAAAATTGCTGAGGGTCTTGGCAGTCCACTTAATTATTTTTCTGCCTGTTGTAGCAATTGTAATGCTCTGTGTTAGATGCTGTATGACTTTTAATTGTAACTTTAGAGATAGGCTATTGACCACCGGATTGAAGCTGGTGGACTGTCCTTACACCAGAGTTTGAGAACTGCTGTTCTACATAACAGAACCTCCTCCATTCTCCTAGAATTCTCAAAGACTGCAGACAGTGGCTCCTTGACTTGACTCCTCTGAGCCTGGAAACATGAGCTGCTCCAAAGTAGCTAGGTCTTCTCCAACCATCTCCTTGCCTGTCCTGGGCTGCAGGTTCTTTCTTATATAATTTGTTTTTCTGCTCCTAGGTTGAACACACTTCCCTTTTTAGGAGAATATACCATTGCATATTAAGATCATTTCTTCTGACTTTTTGTTTCATACCTCAGAGTAACAATAGGAATGTTACCCATAGAAGTTGAAGTGTCACTGTGTGTGGTGTTTTTTGTTTTTTGTTTTAAGCCAAAGGTATTATTTGTGCTCTTGGTATGTGTGCCTAATATATGTATATGAACATTCAGCGTGGAGGATAAGTGGGTTAGCTTGAGAGAGAGTTAGTTGCTCCTGCGGAATATGTCTCCACATCTATTCTGAAACACAGAGGAGGGAGGGAGACTGGAGTGACGTCTCTCTGCACTCCCCAAATGACTCCCCGGTTCTTCATGGTTCTGAAGAGATTCTTGGCTGAATTCTTTGCTCTCCATTTTCCGCCACTAGAGAGTCGGAACATTGGCTTCCTAATGCACTGCACAGGTTCTTACAAAAGGCTAGTTCTCTTGGGGTTATTGGAATAAAAGAACAGATGGTGCGGCTCCTCTGGAGTTTCCTAATTGTTGAGTTTACTGTTGCACATTAACAGCTAAATGCAGGCAGGGACATTAACATAAATACGCCCAGCTCAGGCTTGCAGAAAAGGTGTGTGGAGAATTGTTGTGTTCCCTGAATATCATGTGAAGCAGAGGGGTTTCGGGTTTTGTGTGTGGGGTTTTTTAAGGGCTGGCAACAATCCAGCATAACGCTAGACAACCCAGGAATGACATATTGTTCAGGATTGTTCGTTATGTAATGTTAAGGATTTTATAAATCATTACCACTGGAAATATATATCTGCCTTGAACAGAGGAATAGACCACCATGGAATGTTCTTCAGGGCATATGAGGAACTTTTGTTGCTAAATATAGTGCCCCCTTTATGGAGGGGAGGCTCCTACAACCCTGAAATTCCAGCTCAAACTTGGGTTGAGGACAGTACTCACTATATATTGTGTTCTTCCTTTTGTTTTATGCTCTCATACCATTTATTTATATGTGCATATTGGTTGAGGTAAATTAAATTTTTATAAAGACTGCCTCTCATGTCTTTGTTTCTTTTAATTTTTTGTGCATGTGTGAGTAAATTCTGTCTGAGGGAGAGACAGGTACACTTCCCTTCACAGGAGATCTTATATTGCCTAGTTAGCTGATAAATTTGTACCATCTAATTCCTGAGGGGGATAACTGTCTCCTGGGGGGCAGAAACATGAGACACTCAACTCTGCCTCTTGTTTCCATCTTCTAATCCCAGGGACAGGACACTAAGAATTCTGAATCTGTGCCTGGAGGCAATGCAGGAGCAGATGAGGGTGAACAAACTGAGGTTTAATCCAGACAAAGTGAATGCACTGCAAGTAGAGACTTAGAAAGACATCATGCTCCAGAAAGTGCTTTGCATCTGATCTTAGATAGGGTTGCACTCCCCCCAAGTGTGCAGTTCAGGAGTTCTCCAGGATTTGGTGCTAACTGTGGAAGCTCAAGTGGCAGCGGTGGCTGGGAGTACATTTCCGCAGCTTAGGCTGATGTGTCAACTGCAGCCGGCATCAGGAGAGACCAGACTTTGCCTCTGATCCATGTCCCAGGTAAAGGTAAAGGTAAAGGTAAAGGTACCGCTGCCCGTACGGGCCAGTCGTGTCCAACTCTGGGGTTGCATGCTCATCTCGCTTAAGAGGCCGGGAGCCAGTGCTGTCCGGAGACACTTCCGGGTCACGTGGCCAGCGTGATGAAGCTGCTCTGGCGAGCCAGCACCAGCGCAGCACACGGAAACGCCATTACCTTCCCGCTATAAAGCGGTACCTATTTATCTACTTGCACTTAGGGGTGCTTTCGAACTGCTAGGTGGGCAGAAGCTGGGACCGAAAGACAGGAGCTCACCCCGCCGTGGGGATTTGAACCGCTGACCTTACGATCGGCAAGTCCTAGGCACTGAGGTTTTACCCACAGCGCCACCCGCGTCCCTGGTCATCCACCTGGTGTCCCAGGTGGATGACTATAATTCACTAAAGACTGTGCTGTCTTTAAAGACAATTTGGAAATTATAGCTGACTAGCCAAGGGGAGGCAGGTCAGTCAAATAGCTCTGAAAGTTTCCAGATTTGAGCCCTGACATCTCCAGGTAGATCTGGGAGAGACTTCTACATGAAAACCAGAGAGCGACCCAGAGTAAATACTGCAGCAGATGGACCACTGGTATAGGGCAGCTTCCTATAGTCCTGTGAATCATGTTGCACCATCTGTATACCAGCTGCACTGTTTGCTGGTGCATGTCAAAGGTCAATTTAAAGTGCTGTTTCCGACCTTTAAACTTTAAAGACTTAAATGGTTTGTGCCAGAGTTATCTGAAGTACCACTCACACTCATACAAGTGCAGCTTCATCAGTCCACCTCCAGGAGTAATTGAGATAGCAGGTACAAGTGAGAGAATGTTCTCCATTGAGGCTCCTCTGCTTTGGAACTCATTACCAGCTGAGTTCTGACAGCCTTGACTATACTGGCCACTTGCCTTTCCCTAAAAATAGCTGTATTCTGTTATTATATTGTTGTTCCTGATAGTCTCTGGGTATACAGCTATGCACTGGAATTGAGTTTGGTCCGGGATCTGTCTTACTGCTGATTTTTTTAGTGTGAGACAATGTTGGTTGTTAGTATTTAATATTTTATTGCGGAAGCCATTTAGAGAGAGTCTTTACTCTTAAAGGCATCCTATAAATGTTTTAAAATAAAAAAGGATTAGGATCACAGAGAGTGGTTTGTTCGTGATGTTCAATTTCATCGATGGTGCACATCAAGATCTTTTAAATGACCAATTTAAATGCTGCAAAAAATAATAACGAGGGCAACCATTTTATTACATGGAAAGTGGTTTTCAAGTTCATACACCTACATTCATTTTCCCTTGAGAGAGTTTCCTACTTCAACAATCTGACTTAAAACCCAGAAGGTTTTTTATGTATAGAATTACTGTTATGCAAATCATATTAATTGCAAGTCTTTTGATGTGGTATAATCTCAGGGAGATGATCCTTCCTGTGGAGTGCTTTAAAATGCAAATGCAGAGAATCACTATCCATTTTAAGAAGGCCTAGTCGACATATAACACCTAACCAATCTAGGTTTTCTGTTGATGTTTGATCCTTTAATATTGGTTCAAAGTCTTGGTTATTCTCATAAATAATAGTGCAGTATCATTTATCAGAGAGATTCTCAACTAGGTACCTCCTTTCAAACAGAAACTGGGTCAACAAAGCTTATCTCCCACGTAGAATTTCTATTCCATTAGGAGTATAAATGAAACGCAGATAAAGAACTGTATACAGGAGAAACAGGAATGTGAAAGAATGTTGGCTTGTTATATAAATGTAGAAAAAGCATCTTATTTTTCTGCTTTTTGTCAAGCAGCACACCATGGCTTAGTGGCTGGCATATACGACGAGTACATTTTCAAATGCCTCATCAAGAAACATTGTTAGTGACAATGACTTGCTTGAAAAGCTGTTTAGTTGCTCTGACCTTAGGAGATTGCCACCCCAATAGGTCTACTCTGTGCTTATTATAATTAAGAATCCCCAGATTCAGGGACAACTATTTTCTGTATGCTGCTTTCAGCTTGCATAATGAGGTTCTGGACGCAAGGAAGTAATTTATTAAAACAGGGCCATGACATTTGAAAATGTATGAATAGCTCAACCCGACCAACAGATTCAGTAAATAATCGATGAGAGTCAATCTGGTGTAGTGGACCGAGAGTTGGACTTAAACTAAAGAGACCTGGATTAAAATCTTTACTCAGTTATAAAGCTTACTGGGTGACTTGACCTCTTCACACTTCCTTAGATGATATAATGTAATAATCTTGATGTATGCCAATCTGAAAACCTTGAGAAAAGGTGGGGTCCATGTATAATCAGTTTTTAAATCCGTATGAATTTTCACAATGGTGAAATAACTACTTCCAGTATAGTTTTGATAACAGTGAACTTTAAAGATGTAGTGTTTGTAAAAATAGATGTTGATGATCCAGTGTTGAGAGAGAGAATATTTAACTGGCCAGTTGACAGCTTTCAGCATCATTTAGCAGGAATTTGGATGCAAGTTACTGCTCTGAAGAGATATTTAATAAAATTTATATACAGCTCGATTGTTAAAAACCCCCTCAAAATGGTTTACAAAAAGAGAAAACAAGAAAACCAAGAAACGTACTTTAAAACACACAAGTTAAAATACACCTCAACTTTCTAACATCTGACTTGTTTAAACAAGAATGTTTTCAGCAGGCGCCTGCTTGATCTCAAATTCAGTATGCAGGGCTTCCAAAGTGCAGGTGCTGCCACATTAAACGACCGAGTTCTTACGGAATGGGTATTATATGGCATCGACTGAAGCAGTTGAGTGGGCACATGTGGGTAAGGTGATCTTATAGGTAAAGTTGTTAAAGGCTTTATATACTCATAGTAACACCTTGAACTTGGCCTGGTAGCAAATCAGCAACCAGTTTAGATCTCCGAGCATAGGTGTTACATGCTTACAATTAGTAAGTAACTAGTATTTACACAAAACCTTTCTTATAACTGCATGATTTGATTAGCTGTAATATTGGAATCCAAAGAACTGCTCTTTGATCCACCTTGTAAAAGTGATTAGGTTTGGCGGCTCTAACCGTTTCAGTGGTTGTTCCATATCTTTGGAATGCCCTCCCTAAGAAATTGATATGGTCTACTCACTAATCGTGGCCTTTTCTTTTTTTTAAATTCCAGCCTTCGCTCAGGTGATTTCTAAGACACCCATCACACAACCTCCTCTGCAGCTTAACAATGAGAAGTAAATCCAGAGGGAATGGCATTTCAGCATCTTGTGCAGAAAATATTCCTTGCTCAGTTTTCTTTGCAATATATGGTTGTTCCACATGCAGCCGTGTTTCCCAAACAGAGCATTGAGAAAAGATGGTAGCTGCAGTGTAGATTTCCACGCAATGAAGCTTACAGAAGATGCTAGCTGTTTTTGTAGTGCAAGTGCTGGCTTTATGTTGCACACAAAAGCAAATTTATTTCTAATGGAGAGTCACCTGGGTCACCCAAGTCCAAGGAAACCATGTTGAACTAAACGTTTTCCCTTATCACTTCTTTATTTAGTACATAGCTGTGCTAACATACTCAGATTAATCCAAATCCTCTTAAAAAGGAAGAAGCTGTCTGGGTTGCCATGCCAACTGAGAGGCTGACCTCGGCCTGGCCCACAACTCATTTTTTAAGATGAGCCATATTGTAAATGGAGTCAGTCAGGGCTGAAAGCTGAAAGCTGTAGCAAGATGGATGATCCACTGGGTGCAGCTTGGGTGTGCTGTGCTTCCCGAACTAGTCAGAAGGCCTACCCATTTCCTCTGCCCTAAGAATGGAGAGCCTAAGAGAACTCAGAGAAGCTTTTATTAAAATAAAACTTACTTAGAAAACAGGTTTTTCTTTGATGTTATAAACCAAGGTGGGAAAGCTTTTTGGCTCCACGGGCCAGATCTTTCTCAGGATTGGCCTTGTGGGCCAAAACTGTCAGGTGAACCATTGTGTCACATGATTGACAGGTGAGTCGTCATGCCTGTCAAAATCGCTTGTGCCGGGTTCCCAGTCTCTTTGGGAACTGCCTCAGAAGGGGGTTTGCTAACCCTACATGCAGCACTTCCTAACGTTCCAAGCACACAGCTGCCAGAGTGGTTATTTGTCCCCATAGGGATGAGTTGGAGAGAAAAAGGCTCTTTTACAAGGATCACAAAAGAAGTCCCTTGAGCTTCAGGTCTGTAAAATGCATGGGAAACCTGAGTACAGGGTGAGAAAAGCAGTTCTTTTTCACTGGGTGGGCAGGGGAGGGAAAAGCTGGAAAGAATTGCTGAGGGATTTGAACTGAACTAGTTGGACAAACCAGGGCTGAAACCTAGTCCATTTTTGGACAGAATGAATTTGAACTGGAACTGGTGAGGTCTGACCAAAGCAGAATAGAAGGGTACCATTAGTTCACATGAGCCAGACACTCTATTTCTGTTGCTGCAGCAGTGCCCTGTCTTATCTTCCTTATCCACTGTGTCTTGCAGTTGACTCACTTTCATCTTGAGGCCTCCTAAAACTCCTGGGCTCGGTTCACATGTAGTGCTGTCAAGTCATGTCACCCACCTTATATTTGTGCATCTGATTTTCCCTACCAACTTTACATTTATCTGTGTTTAAACTCTTTTTTCTCTTAATTCTGGCCTGGTTCTCTATCCTGGTTCTGGATTATAAGGTATTAGCTAGCCTGCCCTGTTAGGAGTCTCCTGTGCATTTTATGAGTGCCCCCCCCCATTTCTTCATTTATAAAGACAATAAACAGCACTGGGCCCAGGCCAGAACCCTGTGGCACCCCGCTTGTCACATTTCT